TCTGTTCCAATTATTTGGAAAATAAATTTTCAACTTACTCATATACAATATTCAACAAGAAACTCAAGTGATGTAACTTTTTTCTTTTTGAGTTTCAGTTTGTCTAGCTTCTATGGTTCTGTTTTCAACTTTACTAATGTTTTTTTCTATAGTGTCTAATATACTACTAAAATCATTTAGTTTCTTTTTCAATTTCAGATATTGTAGTTTTCATTGCTAAAAATTCATTTTGGTTCTTTTTTGTATCTTCCATTTTTTTCTCCTCAGTATTTTTGTTTTCTTTAACATTTTGAAAAAATGTAACTAACTCTATCAACTCTCACCTGTCATTTCTAAATCTGTATCTTTAGACTTATTTTTCCTCTGATTATGAGTCACATTTTCTCGCTTCCTTTCATGTCTAATAATTTTTGTTTGAATGCTGGTCATCATAGTTTCAGCTGCTGAATGATTGGATTTTACTGTCTTTTTTTTTTTTTTTTTTTTAACTGTTGGACTTTTTTGTGGCAAGTAGGTTACTTGCTGATCTGATTGGCCCTTTCAAAGTTTGTTTTACATTTTTGGGGAGGTGAGTCTAGACTAGCTTTCACACTAGAAATAGTTATGTCCTACTACTAAGATGTGACCTTTAGTGTATTCATTGAATGTACTGGGTGGTCAATGAAATATCTCCATTCTGGCTTATGAGAATTTGAATACTTTCTAGTCCTCTGTGAATTTGGGAGCACTTCCTCTTTCATTTTGTTTACTAGGCTCCTGAATTTTCAACTTACTCATATACAATATTCAACAAGAAACTCAAGGGATGTAACTTATTTCTGGTACATTTTTCCTGAGTGAGTTTATCTTCTGTAGTAGTCTTCCCTACAAATTACAACTGTGCTGAACTTCACAAACTCTAATCTTAGTCTTCTCATTTCAGTGAAACCATTGTGTTCCAAAGTGGCCCCAGGAAGAACGCCAAAAGGATTGTGGTGTCAGCTGTTTTATTTCTCTTCTTGAAACAATCATAGTCATGAACTGCCTGTTATCCAATGTCTTAAAAGTTTTGTTTTGTTTTTCTTCATATATTTCATTTAGTTGTCTAGTTGTTTACAGTGGGAGGGAAAGATAGATTTCAGTTACTACATCATAATAGAAAAAAGTTCCAAAAATTTTTAGACTCACTTTTTCTGGAATTGTATTCTTATTAGGTGTGTGTAGTAGTTATGGTTGAAAGACCCAGCTCAGTTCTTGGCACATAGGAGGTATACGTTTTACATTAGATATTATGATTGTAATAATTTTCATAGATATATTTTAGTGTGGATTCTGTTAACTCAAAGATTTACAAGTGGAAGTGATTTTGAATTTCTTTGTCTTTTTGCATTTCCTAATTTAATTAAGGAAAACATATAGAAATAACCAGTGTGTTTGTATTCTTGAGTACTATGAAATGGGATAATTACTATACATAATGCCTCTTAGAAAGTAGTAGATTGAAAAAAATATAAAATATTTAAAGTGCAGAGCCAGATTGCGAGCCTTAATCAAATACAAATTTAATTTTAGATTGTCTTCTCAAATATTGTTCAAGGACAGCAGTGATTTAAGAATAATCAGGTTTTTGGGACCAGCAGTTGGCATAATGGCTATGTTGCTGGACTCTTATGTAGTCGACCGTTGTTCGAATCTCAGACCCGGTGGCTTGAACTCACACCAGGCGTGTGTGCGTGTGTGCCCAAGATCTCAAGAAGAGAATGGAGGAGAAGGGATTGCAGCATGGCTATCCCCCCTGAGGGGTGACTTCTCACTTTCTGTCTCTATATCTCCCTCTGTCTTTCTGGCGAGCACATGCACCCTTTAGCAAAAACCTCCCCCTTCCCCCCCCAAAAAAGAGTAATCAGGTTTTCTTTTAACACGGATTTTAAAGTGAATACACAAGTTAACTAAAAATTTAATTGATTCAAGCAAAAGCTTAAGGACTTATTAAGTTAACTATTAGTAAAGAAAGATAATGTAATATTCAGGCAGTCTACTTATAATAGTTTGACAGAGGTCTTTTGACTTCGTGATGAGTTTATTATGATATTAAATACATTTTGAACTTATAAAGTGTTTGGATTATGATGGTTTTATTGAGACTTATCCCCTTGTAAGTCAGCAAGCAGCCATATTAACAAATCTTCTAATAAGGAAAGTTAAAGTGCATATTAATTGAAAATAAAACGTTGGGATGGTAAAATACCTATAAAACATAGTCTTCTTAATATGGCAAAACATAAATGAAGACACATTTGTTTTCCATAATTTATAATACAGCTTGAAACTGAGGACAAAATCATGGTCGCTGTAAGGCAGAGAATACCAGCCATCCTTGGGAGTCTTCTGTTTAAAAATTCCATTGAGTAGCTCCATCATTAGAGTCACCCTGTCTTCCTACTGCCAGCATGAAACACAATGAAGGCTTCAGACTGAGAGCTAGTTGTGGGGTAACTGATTCAGCTAGGAATATAGGAGTGTTCTTCTGCAAAATAGGCCATTAGAGTAAGTAAAGGTGTCTGAGAACTGCACATAATACCAGAGATCTGCCATAGCATGATTACTGTAGAAATAGCTACTAGACAATTGGGCTTCTAACTGGCATGGACTTTACGTCATTAAATTATGTCTTTTAGTCCCCAGTACAGTTCTAAGAATACCTTGGTGGTGAAAATCAAAATGGGATAGGCTTGTCACTCTCTCTAGGCCCCTATTCTTCTCCTCCTCCTCCTTCTCTTTCTTCTTCTTTTTGAGATATTTTTGCTACAGGGCACATATACTCACAGGAGAGACAGAGAGAGACTGAGAGACAGAAAGCAAGATATCACCCCTCCCATCCTGTTATGGCCATAGCACAATCCCTTCTTCTCCATTCTCTTGGAATTTTGGGCATGTGCTCACATGCATCCAGTGGGAATTTCAAGCTGCCGGTTCAGGTCTCAAACTGTGGTTGGTCACATGTGAGTCCAGTGCCCTAACCACTATGCACCCTCTGGTCCCCCCAGTTCTTAAGACTGTGGATAGTTCATAAATGTCTACAGAAAGAATTTTTTCTAATTTTTCCTCATTTCCATCTCACCCAAATCTTCCAATCTAATGGGTCCCAAAAATGTAACAATTTTATCTCATTTCAGAATTTGCAATGTTCAGATCAGCTAAAGATATCTATTGTTTAGCTTTCTTTAAAGTACTTCTTTAAGGTATTAAGGTATTTATTTCTATTAAATACCTTAATTAAGCTTGTGTTCCTAAATGGTTGAAAAGTAGTACTGATGTTTATATTTTACAAGGCCTTGATTTCATCCTTTTAACATTTCTCAGCACGTTCTTGTTTATATGTCTCTTCAACTAGTCTACCTTGTAATGCCATTTGTAATAGCTTAGTCTATGCCCTTTTCCACTCAGAGTGATTGCTCCATTAATAGAAAGACAACCTTTGAAACAGGTTAGTGAGAGGCAATCAATTTCATGTCTTTTCTGTTGACATAAATGACTGTATTTATTGCAGGAAACAAATTCACTTAGACATTACTGAATTATAATCATCCTAGTAGGACCTAGAAATAGTAAATGTTTTGTTCGACAGATTTTACTTTAAAACTAAAATCATCAGATGCCGGGTGCAGAAAGCATGAAATAAAACAGACATAATGTATTTTAGTGTGAGATTCCTCTCTAAAATGGTCTGTGAATGGCATAGGATGGTTTTATAAATGTGAGGTAGACCAAAAGCAGATATAAAAAGCAGTTTAATGCTGATTAAATGAGCATGGCAATAATTACTTCAGTGTGCAAAGAAATGTTGCCTTTTGAAAATGGACAACATGTTTGATCTTGCTCCTCTGCTTTAGTTCCTGACAATAGCAATGCTAGGGTTTTAGCTTTCATCACTTTCTATATTTATCTAAGCAAATGGGAACTTATTTTGAAAATACCTTTTTTTTTTTTGCATTTTCAAACTTCGAAGAATGCCACAATATGAAGTATCCTCTTCTTGTTAGCTTTGATGAGATGTCTTTTAAATTTAAGGAGCATAGTCATTTTGTATTGATGCATGATGATGGCTTTAAAATCACTTGACGATAACTTTATTAATGGTACATTTGATAACAAGCTGTTTCCTTTTGGCTGGTATTTGGTTCACTGTGACATTGGCCCTTTATCCTACCGTGTAGTTTTATACCAGATTCTCTCTGAGGTACGCAAGGATGCTGTGAACAGGTGGGTCTAGACTGGTTCAGGACCTCGAGGTCACACTCTCCCTTAGGGGAGAAGGCCAGAGTGGAGCAGATGTGGCTTTCTCCTGGGCCCCATTTTCCTGGGAAGATTATGTCACATGAGGGCTAACCCTAGACTTCACAGTGACCTCTCCTTAGCGGAGGGTATTTTGCTTTTCTGGAGCTTTTCAGTTCTCCACCTTGGCCCTTAAGAATCATATCCAGGGATTTGAAAGTAGAGCAAATTTTCATAATTGACTCAGGTAGGCATGCAACTATTTCCTATTCACAAAAGAGTCTAGTGTCCAGTTTCACACACTCAAACCCTTGGCTAAAAAGCCATCATAAGCAATTATAAAGGGAGTTGGTGGTTTTCTGGAGTTTCAGAAAAATAAACAAGAGTTAGCTGCTAAAATCCAAAATATGACTTTTGTCATAAAATCAGGAACCAAAGTTCACTTTTCCAATTGACCTGGAAAGATTTATTCTGACTTGAGAATTAGCATCAGCTAGCAAGTTAAATAGACTAAAAGAAAGATTTTTATTTTTAAACCCGTGCTATATATTTTTTTCTTTTTCTTAGTTTCACTTAAATCAAGACCCCTTGTGTGAAATTTTCTGGGAGTTCTGTACTTCATACAAATAGTAGATTGGGTTCCATTGCTAGAGGTCGTGGCCCCAAACCTTGAATCAGTGTTTTGCAAGAAGAATGTTAGGAGCCACTGGTCCAGGCCTTTCACCACTTTTCTCCCGTCTCCCTAGGTGAAGAGTGCGACATTGACATAAATGAATGTGACAGCAATCCCTGCCACCATGCTGGAACCTGCCTGGACCAGCCCAATGGGTATACTTGCCACTGCCCACACGGCTGGGTGGGAGCAAACTGTGAAATCCGTAAGTATTTCCTCAGCACAGCCATTGTTACTTAACATCACATTTCCTTCAGCAAGAAAAGGATATGCCCACTGAGGCCAGAAAGTCCTGAGCCACTGACAGGATGAGGTAGAGGGGCTCAGTGGGACAACCTGAGTCTCTCGTAGCACCCACGTCCTGGCTAAGTACTTTGGCCTTCTGCATTATGCTGCATCCACTCCCTGAGGTTGAGCCCAGCCATTCCATGGGGATGAGAATTTTTAGATGTCATCCAGAGTTCATCACTGCTCATGCAGCCAAAAATGTGCTTAACAGAGAAGCAGTAGAATCATATCAAAAATGGGAGCCATTGCCTTGAAAATTCAAAAGAGAAAACAACCCAGCATGTAAATCCATTTTGCATTTATGTCTGCAACTGTATTAGATTCCATCTATAGCCTGGGAGAAAATTCTAACAAAGATGTGCTTAAAAGAAAATCTGGAAAACACTTTAGACTATTAAAGCTAAGTGTGCTCTATGGTGAGCTAGCAAAAATTTGAAAATGACATATTTAAGATTTTATATATTAAGACAATGTATCTACTAGGATTGGAGTGAAAAGGAGAACTAACATGGAATGGGGTTTTCAGTTGTTTTGAAATCACTAATATTCAACTTAGAAAGATATGCTCTTATTTAAATCAGGTAGGGCAGTTTAATCTTTCATAGAAGAAGAAATCTAACTTTGCAGTGTGTGTGTGAGGGCATGTTTCCCCATTCTACATGGCTTTTATTCATGGGAGTGATGGGCTCCTACCACCTCCGTCCTGGGTCAACAGTGAAGATAGGGGAACCAGCAGTTAGCGTAATGGCTATGTCGCTGGACTCCCACATAGTCGACCGCGGTTCGAATCCCGGACCCGGTGGCTTAAAACTCATGCCGGGTGTGTGTGCGTGTGTGCCCAAGATCCCGAGAGGAGAATGGAGGAGAAGGGATTGCGGCGTGACCATCCCCCCTGGGGGGTGATTTCTCACTTTCTGTCTCTATGTCTCTTTCTGTCTGTCTGGCGAGTGCACGTGCCCTATAGTGAAAATCTCTCAAAAAACAAAAACAAAAACAAAAACAAAAAACAAAAAAAACAAAACAGTGAAGATAGTATTTGACCTCTTCTTATTTCCTCACTCTTTGCCTTTCCTCTTAGTTCATAACTTGAGAAGGAAGAGCATAATTATTTTCAGACCTCTCCCTCTAGCTTCCCAAGTCCTCCTATTCAGAATGGTTTTAGGACCAACTCACCTTGTTACATAGATGAGAAATACTCTCCTGTTAAAGAGAGAGAGACGGGATAGAATGATTCCATTGGTAATAATGTTAAGAGCTACAATATGGTGTAGGATGTGAAGTCCAGTCTGGTGGAATCTGATGGTGGAAAGGATCCCATATCTGGATCAACAGGCCTATCTGTGTTTTTTTTTTTTTTTTTTTTTGTCTTAGAATGGCTGTCATTGTATGCCTGCATTTAGTTGTGCTGAGACTCAGTTTACTTATCTACCAAATAGCACAAATTTTTATTCTCAAATTTGATAATTTTGTGAAATGAGAAGTTAGTGCCTTGGGGCAGAATAATACCTGTTTATAACTTTAAAAAATTATTTATACATTTCATTGCTATACACCATTTAGATTGTAAGAGATTTTACCTAGCATGATACACATCTCAGTCCAGTTGAGAATACTATACACATTCTCATCAACAGGTAACAAACCATATCTGTGTCCCACAAATATCTTATCTCTCCTTATTTTTCTCTTAATTTCCTTTTCTGCCCTTTTTCCCTCCCACACTCTCCTTCCACTTTTTCTCTAGTGTCCACAGCAATTTTTAATGCTTTCATGTCCTCCAGTCTTTCAGTCTCTACCATAGAGTGCAGACAGTCTGTTTATGTTAAGTGGAGACATAAAATGTCTCTCTTTCATAGCCTGACTTGCTTCACTCAGGAACAAATCTTCCATATTCATCCACTTACTATCAAATTACAGGGCCTTGTTGTTTTTTATGACTGAATGGTATTCTATGGAGTATATGTGCCACACTTTTTCAATCCATTTATCTATTTGTGGACATTTGGGTTGGTTCCATGTCTTAGCAATCATGAATAGTGCTGCAATATATATATTTGTGAAATACCTGTTTATAACTTTAAAAATCATATTTATGAAGAAAAGAGTATAGAAGAATATGGTTAAGAAAAGTCAAGAACACATAGATATTCTCAAGAAATTTTGAAGTTCTATAAATCATTTAAAAAGCCTAAATTTTTACTTTCTTCTGGTGATGGTAATATAGGCAGAAGATTTTTTTTTTTTTGAGTGATTTTTGCTATACGACACATGCGCTTGCCAGAAAGACAGAGACAGAGAGACAGAAAGCAAGAAATATTCAGGGATTCTGGGAATCAAGATGTGGCCATTATAGGGGGACCGTTATTCCTGTCACCCCACCCTATAAATGGTGGATCACTCCTCCTCCTGTTTGTTCTTAAACATTATAGTATTTTTGAGATGATTTAGAATTGTTACCGCATCGTGCTCATCATTAGGCTAATTTTTTTTTTAGAGAAATATTTTTTTATCATAGGGCATGTGTACTTGCCAGAGAGACAGAGAAAGAGAAATAGAGAGACAGAATGGTAGAAATCACCCCCAAGAGGGAGGGCCACACTGCAATTCCTTCTCCTCCATCTTCCTCTCAGGATTTTGGGAATGCACACACATATGCCCAGTGTGAGTTGTACCCCTCTGGATCTGGGACTCGAACTGCAGTAGACTACGTGGGAGTCTAGCAATGTAACCATTGTAATCAATGTAACCAATGTAACACCATCTGCTGGTCCCAAGCTGAGTATTTTCATAACATAAACATAACTTGTACTACTGGCAAGTGAGGCTTCAGTGAAAAGAATAAGGGCTACTCAGGTCAAGGGAGCTGGGCTTGAGGCTGGAGTCTCCTGCTACCCAGCCAACCATGAGAGGGGTATCTCGTCTCTCTGCAGCCTAGTTTCTTCATCTGTAAAATGAGGATTAAGTGATATAATTAAGCATTCACTCCTCCAGCTCTAAAATGATAGGATTCATCTTTAAAGTAGTAGTATACTATGCCAGGAACCCAAATTATAAGACAGATTTTTTTCTTCTTGTTTTGCTCCATTTCAAAGTACCATGAACATTTACTATTGCTCATGGGGAAAAATTCTGTATGAAATATATATGGTATACTGATAAATAACACAGTGTATGCACATTCTGAAAACAGCCTCCATCAGCGACGGGCTTTGCACATGGAAATGAATTGATTTTCCTATCACTTTTCACTAGAGATTCTGAGATCTTAGTGAGATTTATATACTAATTGATACCATTTTAGATGTTCCACTGTTATCTCCTATGCCTGGTATTTACCCCAATAATGAGTGTTTCTTAGAAGTTTGCCCCATTTAGTTATCGGTCTCCTACTCAGTAATAAGCCAAAATCTAGGCTACTACATAGATTTATCAAAACCATTATGAAAAATCCTACTAGAATCACTGTAATAGTTGTAGTGTTTCATGTATGTTCTGAATCAAACGCAAGCCCAAAGCTCTGGAAATTAACAGAACAACCCTGGTAAAATTTAATTCCCGAAGGACCAGCAGGTGGTGTGGTATTTAATGGTATTGGATTCTCACATGGCTGATCATAGTTTGAGTCCTGGACCTGGTGGCTTGCTTTCTCACTTTCTCTCTCTCTGTCTTGCTCTGTCCCTCTCTGGTCAAAATTAAAATAAATAAATGAATAAATTAAAATAAATAAATAAAGTTAAATGAAATAATTCTTAAAAAAATATTTAACTCTTTGCCATTCATTCTTGCCACCTTGAGACTGACCACAATTTTTTTTTTATTTTAATAAAAGAAAAACATGCATTCTTAGAGTTAAGGTCTAAAAATGGAAATTCCGATAAATCATTACATAGTGGTGTATTGTAACTGTAACATCTACATGGTTGTAGTGCCAATCATTCTTGCAGATTGACAATTGGCCAGTTCTATACATTGTTCAGTTGAATCTGTGGTTAAACTATTGAATTAAAGGTATTCTGCAGTCAAAAAAATAGGCAAATAGGCTATCTTGGATTTATGCATTCAATCGAAGGTCTCCTTATTATTAGGTTCTGAATATAGTGCCTATATATATATATTAACGAAACAGTTCTTGCCTTTAAGAGTTTGTAATCTACTGTAAGTCAGAAGATGTGATGAGAGTTTCTGTAAAGCTTTGCACAGGCACCTCCAGGCAGCCAGGGAACAGGAATATACCTCCTCCTGGAGCCATGAAGGAGTATATACATGGATGTTTGGACCCCCTCTTTTCAAAGTAGATGGAATTTAGTAATAGTTGAGGCAACTCATCAAATGATTGTATTATGTGAGCAGACCTTATTGTAAAAATAGATTAGGTTCTTTGATTACTTGTTTATACCTTTTATGTAAAGTAGAATTTTTAAAAAAGATTTTTACCATAGGGCACATGTACTCACCAGAGATGGACAGACAGAGACAGAGAGAGAAAGTGAGAAATTGAGGAATCAATTCCTGGTGGCAATGACAATGCCACAGCCCCTTAGTCTTCATTTTTCTCTTGGGACTTTTGTGCACAGATGCACACATTCCTGGGGTGTTTCTCTAGCTGCTGGGTCCAGGACTTGAACACCAGACTGGGCCATGTAGGATCTGGTGCCTTAACTACCATGCCACCTACTGGCCTTGTAAACTAGAAATTAAAAAAAAAAATTAATCTCCTTCCCCATCCAGATCCCTACTTCACTCCCCAAAATGGTAACAAGTGTTAGCCATTCATTGTATGTTTTTTCAGAGGTCTTCAGGCAACATTCGTTTCTCTTTTCTCCCATACAAATGGGACCATTCTATGGATAGTCTCCTTACTTTATGTTTAATAATCAATCTTAAAGGTTTATACATATTGGATGATGCGGATTTACC